CCCATTCTCTTGGAATGATAACATCATCTTATTTATTTGATGACGATTTGGTTAGTCGATCTCGCTGAATATTTCGGCTTTTCCTTGACAAATTCCGACATCGAGGTCCTTTCCTTTCAAACCAAATTTTAGTGTAATCATGGAATATATTTTAATAATAAGCCTATTTAGAGATATAACTATTAATATTAATTTTCTATAAATAAACCTAGTCAAATTTCAAAAGGTTTGATTTAGTCTAATCTAAAATTATATTATTTTTTGGAATAGACACAGTTCATAGATATGGCCACAAGCCCACAACGGTGTAACAACGAAGAACGAACTGATTCACATGGACTGCTTTACGGTGATAGCTTGGGGGACTTGAGGGCTCACACCTTCACCTTCCCTATGACGTTCATCTTCCGTAAGTATACGTGGCTCCACATGCTAATTGCATGGATGGCCACCAACATCATCAATATATCGTCATGTTTGTTTGGGCCTGTTTGGCTGATAAGTCATGGCTGAAAGTATTATTGGCTGATTTGGTGTGAGAGAAAAATACTATTCGTTGGCTGATAAACCATGGCTTATAAGCCAAACACGACCAAACGAACAGGCTGATAGAAGTGCCAAAATTTCAATTACTAAAAAATAGGCAACATGATCATTTCAATAACAACATCAACTATCTACGATTTATTAAATTAATCCATCGTGATTCTATACACTGCCATATATATGAACAATTTTTAGAGGTGCCATCATTTTTAGGTACAGTTAGAGCAAAAAAATCCCTATAAATCGTCTTTTATGGGTAGCTACTGTTACATACCGTCTCTTGAAATGCTATTTCTATGAGCAATTAGTGTTTCTGACTGACCTAGAAAAAGAGGCATTCTAAGGACGGTTAGTAACACCAAACGTCTCTAGAGATTGACTTTTAGAACCAGTTTGTAATTTGACCTGCCTTTATAAACGGGTTCTCCACAAAGAAACTATAACTTTTAAGATAAAGATGAACATTGTATCAAAGTTGTATCTATAATTTTATAGTTGATGACTTTTTGTTTAAGATCGCTTAGGCGCCTAAATATATATTTTAAGTTCTCAGATTTTTTTAATTTAAATTATTAAAATTTCAAACAAACCATGAGTGAAGGCATTGCTCTATGTCAAAGTTATAGTTCTCGATGAGATCTAAAACTTTTTAGTTATTTTTTTCTATTTAAGATTGTTTAGGGCCTAAAATATCCAATATAAGACCCATATACGTTACATAATTTGGTGTTTCTACCCCTGCTCCAGACTCCAATGGTGATTTTACCCCTACTATTTTAATATAAAAAGATAGCATCATGTACTCATCATAAGTGACAATGTGTAGTGGTAGTGGGCTCGCACACGACAAAAGGTATTAGGTTTGAATATGAATGAGTGCACGTATTTCGCACAAAAAGTTATGTGACTTGTAGCTTTAGGTTGGTGTTACCCACTAGAAATCAATTTATAAATGCTTGATTTCTATAGACTCTTGACCAGAGGCGGTTGTGACGTGTAGTAGTGTCATTCATCTTTTCAGTCAGGGAGGATTACATATATTCTTCGCACTCCTAGAACCACCCTAGAACATATCCGTAAACAGAGTCAATTGCATAACCACCTAAAACCAGCGACAAAGTTAGAGAAAATTGAAGGAGGTGTGGCACTTTATGATATACTTATGATGTTCAACCAAAAAAAAAGGTGAGACTTGGGTGAAACTTTGGAGGTGATAATTAATTTTGGATCACCCAATACTCTACAATATAAACTCCGACCCTACCTGGAAGCACATATGTTTAGTGCAACGTTTGTACATTACCTTTTTTAAAGAAAAAAAAGTACAAATCCATTACACTTGCTCAATATCTCATCCATTGCACTCAGCATGTAACGAACTTGGACAAATACTGATGTATAACGTGTTCACCACCTTCTCTCCTTGATCTTATTATTTCTCCCTTTGTTTTGGCCTTCAGTATGTGTGGTGTTGAGGGTCCGGGTTGGGGGTTGGGTGGGGCAGGAGGAAGAGCCCATAGTGCCTCCCTTAGATGCACCTGTAAACAGTACGCATCCAACACCATGTGCAGCATAATCAAAAGTCCTTTGTTCTTCTATCAAAAAAAAGTCCTTTGTTCTAACTGACACAAAATCTCCCTAATCTAGATTTCTGGAGTCTTTCAACTACAACGAAACCCAGACAAGACCCTACAAATTAAAAGAAGACTCAAGTTTGTATTGCAAATTATAATAATATTGTGCGTGTTTGATAATATGTGTTATTATACACAACACTCGACAGTGTTGCTGGACACAAAACTTAATGACTCATGACTCTTGGTCTTTAATAGGAGTGATCGTGTTGGGCCGCTTGCATAGTCCACGTTTTGGGTAGCACAACACACATATATATGCGAGAATGCACTTACCTCATGACCCTTGGTCTTTAACATGAGTGATCATGTTTGGCCTCTCGCATAGATTGAGTTGGGTCTCTTACACATTTGACATTGTTCGGTATCACATCTAGCCAACCATGTTGGCAATGATGTGGTGGTTGTCGGCTGAAAGTATAGATGGTGTGGGGGTACCCTCGTTGACTTGAACCAACTCTACTCCCTCTATCCCTAAAAAAGAGTCATTCTCGCTTCCCAAAAAATCAACAATTTTTAACTTTGCCCAAATATATTTAATAAAATATTAATAGTTATGGTACATAATTAATATCATTAGGTAGACCATTGAATATACTTTCATAATAAACTTATTTGGAGATATAAATGTTGCACGTATTTTCTACAAACCTAGTCAAAGTTGAGAAAGTTTGACCAGCATAATTCCCATAGCGACTCTTTTTTAGGGACGGAGGGAGTATGTCTATGACGTTGAGGCTAGGTAGGCAGGGGCGAAGGCAAGCAAGCTTGACATGGATTCTCATTCACTCTAGTTGTTTTTATCGTGGACGAAGGCAAGCAAGCTGGACATGGATTCTCATTCGCTTTAGCTTTTTTTATCTTTCTTTGAGATTACTCTTCTTCTCTGCCCCTCTCTCTTTTATAATTACTCTTCATCGATGGCCAAAAACTGTAGAGCCTCCATGGGCTACACACCGGGCCGGTGGGAGGATAGGGGAATGAGGAGGGGGCTTGGGCCCCCTCTCCAGCTAGGTGCTAGACCTCCTATGTGTAGGTTTCCTCTCTGAGCTGATAAGTAAGGGGGTTGAACCATTCTCTAGCCTAATGATGGACCCCCTCGTATGTGTATATATACACACTACAGTTACAAGAGATAAGGGAGGTAGCTTTCCAAAGGAGATAGAGAGATAAGGGAGACAGGAGCAGTGTAGGGATAGTTGGATTCTGCAGCGATGCCTCCATGGTAGCAATCCACTCAAACGCCTTCCAGGCATACTAGCCAACACAACCAACTTGAATCGTGTGGAGTGATTCAATGGCTACGACCGTAGCAAAAGCCTAACAAGACCCTATGAATCCAATAAAGAATCGCTCTATTAGTATTGGCACATCATAATGATGTGCTATGTGTTTGGAATGGAGTTCTCTTGTACATGTGCCATGTTGTTTGACCAAGGTCATCACGCCTTCCTATCTCCCGTCTATGCTACTCGGTACGGCTACCTCGTTGGTGCTAATGACATGGGCCTGGTGTCTATCAGACACATACACCGGTGTTGGCACCCGTGTCGATGCCAACCAGATGAGCTACTGGTTCGTGAGGTTGGTATAGGGACCCTCTCTTGGCACGTACCTACGCCCTGCCGGCGCTGTTTGGTGTCTGGCTTTGAACTCCCTGATGCACTTCCAACGCAGGACAACCACATGTGTCTTCGTGGTAATGCTATTTTTTCCTTAAGGGCAAATGCTCCATATGCATCCAACCGTAATGCACATGGGGCCATATGTCCCTAAGGGAAAATTTGCACCTACACCACACCGATCGTCACCAACGCTTGTCAAGCCTGTGCCTGCCATCAAACTCTTGATCACCGGCAACACCAGGTTGAACGTTCAGGTGTGCTTCTTGTGCTATGCTACGCAGCCTCTCCTTTTATTTCTCTTGCGCCACCACACGGAGGGAGCCATCTGATCATTTTCTCTGCGCCCAATGACCCAAATTAAAGTTAAGAATATGTTTTCTCGTTACTACGATGTCCTTGTCCTTTAATAAAAGAATAGCTTCCCTCAAAATAAAATACCAAAGCGACAGATAGGGCGTTGCATAGAAAGTCGACCAATGCCGTGTATAGAAAAGACAAACTGAACACACTTAATTATTACAAAAAAAATAAAGAGAAAAAACAATAAAACCGCAACAATAAAAAAAATCCCGCATGCTGGGCATTGCACGATCAAAGCTTCTTTACAAGCGGCTTCACCTAAGAAAGAGCCAAAGAAGCCAGACTTAGGTGGTTTCATCCTTCTTCTAGCATAAAAAAACGGATTTTCCTCACTCTCGTGGAACTATTTTAGAGGTAATATTAAGTAGGGCAAAACTGTTTTATGAGCTAATATTAAGTAGGGCTCCATCTGAAACGATAGAGAAGGCAGAGCCAAAACCCCTTAAGAAGCCATGAGGGTTTAAATATAGTTAACGCAACATCACCAACGGCCCATGATGGGAAATTGGACACAGTCTCCGCGTGAGATTAGTGTGAATTAATTAATTGGATCAATCTATTAATGATTGAATATCCTGTAATACATTCACCTCACTTCGATTAATAGCCAATTATTTAGTTCCAGACAGGCCCCGCTCCTTATAATTTGAGCAATAAAGTAGCTCCCTTTTTTTAAAAAAAAATACAGTACTACTTTGTACGTAGCATTTGAAGATATAGCACTTATACTTGTTGGAAAGGTGACAGGCTTTTTAATTCTAATATTGAGCAAAGATATCAATCCTTCAATACACGAGTCCAGGCTTTCTGCAGCGGTAAGACTGAAACGGAACATTCACTTGTACTTCATGTTCAGCACCTTTCCCAGCGTCAAGCAGCGCGGCGGCGGCATGACCTCTCCTCCCGGCCGGGCACTCCTCAGTGCCCTGGACGGCGTCCCTGACGTACTAGACGACGTCGGCCGCGGCCGCGTGGGCGTAGTCGGACGAGCCCCCTCGCGCGCCGCCGCCGGGCGCCAGCCGTCCTCCGAGTCCGACGTCGCGCGCCGACGCGACGGGGTGTGCTTCCTCCTGATCTCCTCCTGCAGCTCCCGCTCCAGCGCCGCCTTGGCCTCCTCGGCCAGCTCCGCCCGCCGCACGGCCTCCTCCAGGCTGAACCGCAGGTCGCTGATCTCCGTGCGCGCCTCGTCCAGCTGCTTGTCCTTGACCGCGACGTCGGCGCCGGCGTCGCCGCCCGTCGACACGAGCACGTACCCGTCCAGCTTCCTGGTCCCCTGCCCCGGCGCGGGCTCCAGCTCCTTCGTGTAGAACTCGTCCTCGTCTTTGGAGACGATCTCCGTGGCGAAGGCGCAGGTATCTGAGCTGCCTTCTCGCGGCGTGGAGGTCGGAGCTGCGGCCGGCTCTGCTCGTGGTTCTTGGTTCGCTGCGCTCGCGACGTCGTCAGCCTCGGCGATGCTGATGACGTCCTTGGCATCAGAGTGCACGCTCTGGAAATCGTCCCTGAACTCTCGAGGACAAAGCTGGCGTCAGCCTTCGTATCCACGTGATCTTGCACAATGACATCATTCGCTTGGCACGTCGTGAAGTCTGGAAGTGCGCCATCCGGCTCAGCTGGTTCCTGATTGCTGTCAGCTTCAGGTACATTTAAATTTGACACGTGGTTGATTGGCATAGTTATCTTCTCCAGAGATTTTAGCAACAAGGCATCTTGCTTCTTGAGCATCGGAGTTCCCTTCAGCCACTGTCGTGTCCCCAACCATCACTGCTGCTCCTTGTTTATTCTGATTCTCAGCTAAATCCTCGGATATACCAAATTCCATCTGGCTGCCACCAGATGGAACGGCATGAGAATCCTTTCTGACGATCTCATCAGAGACAAAGGATAATCCTGGTGAGTGCTGAAACGTGAATTCCAGCTCCGCTTCAGTATCTTCCACTGCTGTTTGTTCACGTCCCTGAACCTGATCATGACCATCCAAGTTGCTGCAACCGGCAGCACTGAGCACCGTCGTTGCATCAGAATCTCGTGGCGGCGACACGTAAATCTCCTTGGCCTGCTTCAGCTCCGCCCGCAGGTACTCGACTTCCACCGTCTTCACCAGCAGCTCCATCTCCATGCGCTCCATCATCTCAATCTGCCTCCTGATCACCTCCAGATTCCTGTCAGAGTCAAGCAACTGGAGCGTGGACTCCTGAAAGAAGACGGACCTCTCCTCCTCCGCCCTGATCGCCGCGATGGCGGACGACAGGACCGCCTCGTTGAGCTGCAGTATCCGCGCCAGGGCGCCCTTGGTGCCCTCCCTCTCCAGGATGGCCCTCGTCTCCATGGCCTCCACCTCCCGCAGCACGAAGGCGACCGACGCCCTGGCGGCGTCGAGGTCGGCCCTCACGGCGGCCAGCTCGCCCATCAGGGCCTCGCACTCGCCGTCCGTCTCCGACTGCCGGCTCATGATGCTGATGTTCTCCGCCTCCAGCTGGGCTATGCGGAGGTGCGCGTCCATGCAGTCTTTCTCGTACTGGCCCGACAGCTCCTGCACGGCCTTCTGCAGAGCCTCGATCTGCATCGTGGCTTGCTTGTGCTGGTTCTCTCTCACTTCCAGCTAAAGCTTGCAGGTCGCGAGCTCCTTGGTTAAGATGGCGATCTGATGTCCCTCCTGCATATGCGTTTTAGTACCAACAAAACAAGCATGTGTGTGATTGATTCATGTCAGCGTTAGAATTACAGCTAGTGACGCACATTCTCGTCTGGACTAAGCCTGCTTTGATCGCTTCCCCGGTCGAAGAGATCCACTGCTGCCTTCACAGATTCTAATGGTGTAGTGTCGATCTCGGCCATCGGTTATCGTGCGGTTTCCTGCACCCCATAAGCAATAGTAACATTTTATATTATGTTTACACAGTGACAACTCAGAGACCGAACGAGATGGGCGACTGAAGAAAAATTTTGCAGGGCTCTGTTTCTCCCAAGATATCGACAGGAAAGCTTACGTGCCTAGTGCAAGAACTGAGCTGAGCTAAGCTAGGCAGGTCGTTCACAGCACAGGTGCATCGACAGATCTCACTGGACTGGAAACTGAACAGATAGACAAGCCCAAGTGTGCGTGCAAGACGACGATGGGCCGCCGACCGTGCGACGAGGAGATCGGGGGCAAGACGGATAGATATATATAGGCAAATCCGCAGGGACACGCGGAGCCGGCAAAGACGAGGCGCCGTGGCAAACGAGACAAGAGCGAGAGGGCGACGGCGCGCTTTGGGCGTGGAGACCGCGGCGCCGATGCGGTCGCTTTGCTTCATCAGCGCGCCCGCCCTCACTCGTGCCGTCACGACTCACGAGGGTGCAATGACGACGCGATTTCGGCTTCTGGCGCTGTCGCATGTTTCGGTGCGTTCGACCGAGCGGCGGCTTATCCGCCTGCGTTGGGCACATATTCGGTCTCGTGTCCACCGTTGTGGCTGCGTCGAAGTCCGGGCACCTGCCTGAATATCCTCACGTCGCTGCGTCAAATGCCGGACGCTTGCCTGAATATTCTCGCGTCGCGATCGCTACGTACTCCTACGTGTAGCAAACCCGCGGGGCACGAGAGTGCGTATGCACTGCCATACAGGCATAGCGGCCAGTTTATGAATGAAGGGAATTATGACAGTACACCGTCTGGCCCAAAATAAATCAATTTCTAGAGTTATCCTAAATCAAATTATTTTAAATTTGATAAAATCTATTTAAAAAATACGCCAATATTTATGACATCACACTAGTATCACTATGTACGGTGTTATATATATTGCTACTCTTCCTTATAAAGCTACTGAATCTCCCTTCAAATTAGTCAAAGTGACATTTTCAGAATATTTGGTGTTATGTATATTATAACTCTTCCTTATAAAGTTACTAATCTCCCTTCCAAATTAGTCAAACTCAAGATAGTTTGACTGAGAGCGACTCTTGGAGTTCTTTTGAGACACAGTATAAATCAGTGAACTGTGTAGCCGCAGATCTTGAGACGTTAGCTGACAATCTGTTCGGAGGGCTTCACCCGTGCGCGTGATTGACAGGAATTTCGTTATCACCAGTGGTGGAAACAATTTTGCACTCCGAAAGGGGGGCATGAACAGTGAATAATATCGATTATATGTTCATATGCATGGTTAACACTGCTATGTCTTCTAAAGCGGTGTATGCAGAGAGCTCCCGCTCTGTGCGGGATCTAAAAAGGATGTCAGTGGCAAGCCTTACCCTCGCCTGTGCAATGCAAAGAAGACTGCAACTCGAACCCGGGACCTTCCGGTCACAGACGGTAAGACTCTCAGCCTGTTCGGAAGGCCGTAAATGATCATAAATTATTTACTGCTGGCTGATTTAGTGTGAGAAAAATATTGTTCTTGCTGTAAATTTACGATCGTTTTGCACCAGGCCCACCCTTCCACTGCTATCTCGTCTACATTAAAAATTACGCTATTGTAAGAAAACATTGGCAATTCCTAGAGACAGATGCTAGCAACAAAAATGCTGACTATACAAATCTCAAATTTGTTCTCAAGTGATCATCTCGTCGATAGCATCCGTCTAAAGGGGAGCTAAACAATGGCAGTACAGAGGGTCTTGCAATGCCTTTGACCTCTCGTATTGAGAAGCCTGCTGATTAGACTGCATAACCACACATGCCAAAAGGCAGATAAACAGGCTCGCCAGATCGCCATCCAAGATGATCAGTAGTAGGTTGTGCCATAATAAGGTTGAGGAGCTGCCGCAGGCTGCTGAGGGTAAGCTGATGCCGGTGTAGCTGCTGGTACCACTGCTGGCACTGGTGCTGCTGGAATTGCTGCAGGTTGTGCGTAGCTTTGTTGTGTATAGGCCTACAGTATGCACAACAGTTTGCATCAGACAGAATCCTTCAACAATTTCAAAGCTACTATGGTGACCAAGATAGAAAAAAGATTACTGGACAATTAGGTATATCAAGTAGCTCCAGTTAAACCTGACCGCTAAATGCTAATAGCGAGCATGATTCTCTCAAGACCAATGCGCATGTAACATACGTAACTACATATAAGCTACAGCTGGTTCATATCTGCCAGTGGTTACACCGACTGTATACTCGTATAACAAATATGAAGTGGTTAAATAGGCAACGCTAATACCAAGCTAACTGAAAACTATGCAGTTTCCAGTCATCATGTATCAAACATCTGATGCCAAACCACTAAATCAGTGGCCCAGCCATTTGTGACAGTGTTTCCCTCACGCATTGTTTTCAGCTGCTCGCCCCACCACCACCCAATATCCATATGTACAGCGGCGTTCCCGGCGCCCCCAGCGGTTCCATTTTTCTCACCCACCCTGGAAATCTATCACCTATCCCAATTCCGGTGCGTCCTAGTGCACCACCCCATACCTGCCAGAACTGCTCCCTATGCACAAGCTTGATCAACAGAGGTCCAAGAACCTTGGCAACCCAACTGCCCCTCTAACCCTATACCAAACACATGTTCACACAGTCAACTCAGTGGATTCTCGTTCAGTCACCTGAACAATAGGAGTCATGCTAGAAAAAACAGTTGTTACCAGTAGACTTAATGTTATCACCTGCTTAGTTAAACAGATCACATGCAACTATCTAACAGTGCCATGTTTGGGTAAAGACTGCTTCAGAACTAGTCCACACCAGAAAAGAGCAAGCTATGAACTTAAGGAAATTCTTGAAAAAAAGAACTAAAGACTTCAGTTACAACCCAAAACACAAATGTTGAGTAGCTTAACTCTGTCGTGACCCAACCCTTTTAAACTCAAATTGATACCCTAATGTTATTTTCCTGATTTCAAAACTGAATACAAGTGGATAATCTGGACGGAGGGAAGAGTGCATGACATGTCAGTCATTCATTTGCAACAAAATTTAGGAAGATACCTTAATGTGCTATAATTGAGAAGCATTCTGTAAATTTAGGCAGAAAACAAACACAATACCTGAGCAGAGTATGTTGGAGGATAAGCACCATAGGCAGCTGCTTGAGGAGCAGGCTGAGACATTTGATGGCTGTAGTCATAAGTTCCATAAGCAGGATATGCAGCCTACAATGCAAAAAGTTGAAGTCAATACACAAAAATATACAGTCAAACCACTATAGCACAAATTTATAGCCAGACAAATAATAAGAGTGACTATTTCTTAAAATCAAAAGCTCTGTGGATGATTCAATCCTAAGTTGTGAAAGAATCATAGGAATAAAAAAACAACTCGCAAAAAGGGTTCCAGAATCAACATGTTTCAACATTGCAATAGCTTAGTGAACGTGCGCGATAGCTACAAATTCACGAAGAATAACAAGAGGCATTGAGAAAAATAACCACCAAACTTCTGTCCACTGTTGGGGAGGAATTAGAAATACAATCAGCAATGTCACTTTTCTTTTCCAAAATGTATCTTATCTTGATCAGTGCAGCAAAGAAAATCATAGAACTAAAACATGCAGATTTAAATGAATGTGACCTGCTGTGCATAAGAAGCTCCCCATTGCTGCCCAGATGCTTCAGAAGTTGCAGGCCAAACAGGAGGATTGGAAGCATTTGGATCAGTTCCCGTGGCTGACTGTGCAGCCCCAGTTTTAGCAAATTTGTCCCTGTCTGACACAACAGCATCATCTGCTTTCCGTTTCTTTGATGGCAGAATGCTTCTCTTACATGAAAAGAGAGTTGTATGCCGAGTTAAAGCCTTCTTGATTGACTTCGCATCCCCAAAGAGATCCAAAAACTACAGACAAATCAGAAATGAATCAATAATCTATCAAGCTGGATGAGGCCAAAAATAAAATAGCAAAAACTTTGACTTTAGGTCAGAAACCCCAAACAGAAGTCTATCTTACATAGAACTAACATTAGAAGATTACCATATTTGATAACTGTGCATACAGAGATCATGGAGATTAATTGTGTCTTTTAATTTTAAGGAGAGTTCCACATCTATACACAACTTCTATTGCATTACCTAAACAAAATAAAAAAATGCAGAACTTGGCTCGAAATCAAAATTTCCAAACAGTATTATAATCTCCTTCATGTTCCCAAAGCCCAGCAATTAAATCATATTTAACAGTTATATATGATGGTCCAAGATTAAAAGCAGATGCATATTTCATGTTCCAAAATGATCACTTAATAATTAATACTTCAAGTTCCCAAATGACTGCAATTAACATTTATCCTTAATAGCAATCAAATGGTATTACAATCTACTTTATGTTCCCAAAACCAAACCATATTTTACCTCTAAAAAAATGGAAGACATTTCTTCTTTGTCAACTAGACTTGCCACCTCTCCCTGAGATGATTCAGGTGTAACAAACTTCTCCACAAGTGAGTCTAAAAATTCAATACGCTTTTCGCATGGAAAAATTGACTCTAGATGGATGACAGCCTGTAAAATAAATGTAACACTAGTTAAATTAGGGGAAACGAAGAAAAGAAATTGAAATAATTTTGTATACGTCGTAAAAGTTTTAACCTCAAGCACTGGCTTTGTTACATTTAACTGCTCATGCAGCACATTTAATATCTCCCTCGCCTTCTCCAAGTCTCGGACGGCCTACACATTTCAAGGAACACATTAAATTCACTAATATGGGTGCTGTTTAACTCAATCAACTATTGGTCAAACAAAAAAAAAGAAAAAAGAAACGACATCTCCTAGATGGCTAGATTCAAACAAAACTGGAGTGCTTCAGAAAGCTATCGTAAGATGTACAGTAGATGAAATCATCTTATCATAAGTTTTGATCGTCTGAAAAAATTACAGAAAGGCGTATTTTTGTATAATAATTTAGACAGACATGTGAATGATGGGGTTTTCACACTTCAATAATATTAATAATACTAATACGATATATTGTGATAAAAATTACCAAAAATAAGAAACGGGAGTACTGAATAAGCAATGTTGGCAAGAGCTGGCTCTGTTCCTTTCCCTTCTCAGCAGCGATGGCCTTTTCATAAACTGTGCAGGATAATTCTCTCTCTCCCTACAAACATAGACAGCTTAAACAAACTCTTGCACATTAAAAATGAAAAAGGAACATGATAGTTGTTAGTACAAAGTCATACCAGTCGGTGTTCCATATTAGAATGCTTCACAATGGCCTCTAGAAAGCCAGGACATAAATCTGAGTAAAGATGCTGATATTCTGCACGTGCACCAGAAATATCCCCATTAAGCTCCTTAAAGCGCGCACTAAACAGATGGATCTCTGGCTGCTTCTGTGAAACAGAAAAAAGAACCAGTGTGTAGATATTAGCAATATATTCTCATTTAGCTCATGGAATTTCAGGGAGCTTTATTTCAGATCTTATAAACCAAAATTGACCATGACAGTATAGTTTCAAGTTTTAATGCTTCTCAAAGTATCAGTGTCCAATCTAAAGTTTTGAAAATCCAATCCCAAATCAGAACACTAACAGAAAAAATCCATAGAGTATATATACATTAGAAATCCTACAAACTACGTAAACTTTATGTATTGTGTTTCCATTTTGTTCTTTTTGATGGCGTTCCTTAATGGCAATATGGAATCTGGAATAGAAGAAACACTCGTCTAAGATGACATACCACAGCGAAAAATACAACCATGAATATGAGAGACAGAATTTTGGTTAGATCCGCATTGGAACCTAGCTGATAGTACATATGCATACAGGAGTATACAGAACATGCAAGATAAGAGGAAATGGAATGCTACAAGGTAAAAACATAAAGTGTCATCATGTATTCCCTAAATTTCTTTTCCCAAGGTGTAACAGGATTTGAGGAAGTCCTTCAAGGTATTCTTTGATCATTAATTTCTCTTACATTATCAATTACTAAAATAAAAAATTATTACTAAAAGACATGTAAATCTATTGATACATCTTTTGTGCACTAAACATACATATGTTTTTACTAATTGATGACCGAAATTTACAGTGTTGCTTTTCTGAATCCTAATACACCCTACACTTTTAGTGGGAGAAACACATTGTCATACTAGTTATGAAATAATACCTTGACAAACACATGAGTAGCACGAGCCAGGGCATTGTTTGCTAGGTCTAGACTCCCTTTATCCTCCATACATTGCACATAGCGGATCCAGAATTCTGAATAATTAGCACATGCAATTACACACCTTTCATACAATTTGATAACCTGAAAACAGTTTAGCATACCATCAGAAATCTTGTGTATAAGAGGAAGTAAAGGGGGTAAATAATGATAGTAAGGATATGGTATTGACAAAAAAAAGAGAAGTTCACACAGATTACTCCATTAGCTGATTATGGAGGCCCCTCCATAAGAAAGGAGGGACCATCCTGCTCGATAGATAGATGGTTAAGAAGGTGAGCATTAAGCAAATACCTGCATATATGAGATTAAAAATTCAAAACTGGCATTCGGTACCATATATCATGAACCCAGAACGACCACTGCCAAATGAAAGTTTGGAGTACTTAGCCTCATCGAAACCAAACATTATGTCCACGCTCTATCCTCAGTTCAATATCCCATTACAAAGGAAGCTTCGTCCAAATACTAGCCGTTAAAGGATATAGTGGAGCCAATAAGACTGGATTGTAAGTTATAAGATTCCAAGCGTTCCATAAAATCTACTAAATAAAAAGGACAAAGGGTTTCTAGAAGTGTAAAAGCATACCTCATTAATGTCTTCTTCCTTCTCGATAAAGTCAAGGTAGTTATGCCAATTTTCAAGCTCTGGATTGTCAAGAGGCTTGACGTGAAAATATGGCCTTCTAATAGCTAGCTCAAAACCAATGATCTTAGATTCATACTCTTTAGCCTTCTTGTACATCACTTCCCTCATGGAGACATACTTTGCAAGGTTCTCTGCGTCTGTTGAAGATGAAATTTCTGGTTGACCAGGCTTATCGACATCATCAGGATGTGCCTCACCATCAGGCGCTTGAGCACTGGCCTCAGACGTGACAACATACACCGAGGCTTCTTCTGCAGTAAGTATTTCTGGAAAACTGTGCTTCGAAGCCAATTCCTTGAGGCTGCGTAAAAATAATGATTAGTACCACAAAAGCCAAAATGGTATAGTGATGCACATACATTACTTTAGTTCACACATGGCAGACTGTCGTTAATGATATGTTTATTGATCAACTCATCAGAGAACAAAGCTATCAATTAGCGCAGATAAACAAAAGATAGATAATATTTATTTTAACACAAAAGAAAGCTAAAGTTTGAAAAAATGAATATAACACACAGGAATATGTGAAAGAACTTACCAATTAAAATACCGATCAAGCTGCTGGATGGGATGCTCCAATACTCTTGTATATATAACAGCTAGATGACTCCAAGCCTCCAGTGACTCTTCATACTTAATATACTCATCCCACAAAATATTGGAACGATAATCTGTTCCAACGTAAGCCAAGCCACGTTCAAACAGTCTGTAAGAAACCAGAAGGCAGAGAAAGTTACTCCAAAGGTTGAGCAGAGTTACTGATTCACAACAAAACAAGAGACAAAATAACAGAACATGCAATGGATGATGCCTGGCAGGTGAAAAAGCAGTAGCTATTTACATCCAAGGAGGACGACATTATTCATGATAGGCATATTTCAACTTTACTTATATGGCCACATATATGTAGAGTTTAAAGCATCTTTGATCAAATAAGCATGTTAATATGTCATATAAAAGCTAATTTATGAAGTATGAACTGACATAGGCTCAAAAGAAATGACTACATCAAGACTGAGTTCACAAAAGGCCAAATAAATACATTATGCTTAGCCCCTAAAGGTAGGTATGGTATTAACCATTGGCCTGTTGCAATTCAGAGGCATGCAATCACTCTAATAACATAGAAAAAATTTTACATGTCCATTTTCAGATAGACTATGCTCCCACACAAAGTGCAGAAGTGAGCTATGACAATTCTTAAGAACTTAGTCAAGCATTTATGTATGATAATACAGAACTCAAATGCCCAGTCATTTCAAGTAATCAGAAGACAGAAACCCTGTACAGAAGCTTCATTGGAACAGGCATATTGTGTATGGATAGCTACCTTCGGATGATATCTGGGTCATCATATGTTGAAATTGCGAACTGACAATAGTTATACCAAATGTCCACTGAATAAGTAACTGCAAGAACTGCTCGTTCATACACCTCTATAACTTTACTGACGCCATCAAGTCTCGCTTCATGATCAGCATATTTCTTCCAATACCCAAAGCAAAGAGGGAATTCCGCAAGAAACGAATCATACACTTTCCGTATCTTCAAAATATTGTTCTGGACGAGAATATACAAAAGCATGCATTAGGATTTAGAACAAAGATTGTCATCAAATCAAAGAGGTCTGATTTTTATGACTGTTAATCAGATTGAATTCGAATTAAGTATACTTTATTCAAAACACAAAATAGCGAAGGTCACTCAAGACTACAGCAGGGGAAACTAAAGCATTAGGTGCATAAAAACTTCAATTTGACCTTAGGCAACACAAGGATCCATAGTCTGCTAGCACAATAGAGACCTAGAGAAAAACAAGGAAGCACTGATCGTACAACAAAATAAATGCATCATTACAATATGCCCCAAATAAAAGCCATGGGCAAATAATTGCAGATTGACAAATAGCTTAATGTTAATAATTGCAGATTGACAAATAGCTTATAGTTATAAGCTGCTGCCGAAATCAGCTCATTTACACATAGCTAGCTGCACAAAGAATGTTACAACAATGGTTGTATCGGCAAGCAGCTAACCAAACATTACCTCAGCATTTTTCTCTGTTTCCTCAATAAGTGTGGTCCAGGCATTAAAATCTAAGGAATTCGCAGTAACAACACTCCATAATCTAGCCTCTTCTGCTGAAAGCACAGCTGCATAAGAAAGCGGCACGTTAAGAGCAAACAGAAGGTAGGATGCCAGACTAGGCGAGCCTGCAAGTGCAATATTTACCTTCCTCGTAGGATGGCTCAGGAACCGGCTCGCCCATCTCGTTGGTGACGGCTTCGCCGTTCTCTGCAGCTCCTGTTTGGTAATTAGCCATATCGCCAGCCGTCCCATTCAACGCCGTGTGCTCGGCCTGGTAGGCAGAGGCATCAGCTGCCTGAGCTCCACCGTCGGGGGCCACGGCGCTTCCGCCGGTCACAGCCGAGCCAGGTGGATTGCCAGTCGCAAAATCAAAAGCCGCGGCACCAGAGTCCGCGCTGCCGACAGCTGCGCTCTGATCTTGCTCCATTGCGCGCGAATCGCAGTACCCGTACCCCGGACCAACGTGAAGCCCTAGAGCGAAGAGACAGAGCGGAAGGTGGGATTAACGCGCAAGAAGTGGAAGGAGGGGTGTAAAGATGAGAGGAAGGGCGAGGGGCACGCACCGGAGAGCCGCCGATGAGAGGCACTAGCCGGGGAGTGGAGGCGGGGTAGACGCGCCGGCGAGGAGGCGGAGGGGGTTAGGGTTGGATCGGGGGGCGTAGCGGCGTGGATGGAAAAGAGAGGATTGGAGCCTTGGAGGAGGCGCGGAGAGATGGACTGGAGATGGGTACAGGGAGCTCGAGGGCTTGCGGCTAGCAGGCCGACGTCGCACGCGAAGGGTTAGCTAGCCCACACGTGCTGTGTGCGTTGGACCAAGTTACGCGGCCTCGGTACCTCCGAACTTCCGGACCCTGAATAAGGCCTGTTTAGTAGGATTTCTAAAGAAATGGTTTTCACATAAAAATGCTAGCGAAGCTATGTTTAGAGCACTCAAAATACATAATTTATCATAGTTTCTACGTGTATTATTATCCTGTCATCTAAATATTTTACTAATATGGCAAGCGATTTAATAAGAAAAGAGAAGGAAATGGTTTCTTAGTAAAAAATCATATCTACACGGGAACCAAGACATAAGACATAGATAAGAGAGAAAAGAGACATGTAATTGGACAAAACATTATTCTATAAAAATTATTCATTGCAAACATAGTTTCTATATGTACTGTCTACACAAATTAATACACATACAAACTATGTACGGTTTGGCTTACATGTAAAAAAAAGGTTTATGTTAACTTCTCTCGCAAAACCACTTTATGAGTCAGCATCTAGTAAGGCTTCACCCAAAAAGCAAAAGAAGACAAAGTTAAAGCCTTTCTAGAAGCGCTATGTAACTCCTCTCGTGGAGACGTTTTATGAGCCAAGATTTAGTAGGGCTTCCCCAAAAAGGAAGAAGTCAAAGGCTCTGTTCGGCTATTTTGGATCGGCTGGCTGGGTTGGCTTGGCTGGTCAATCAGCTGATTTGAATCAGCCCAGTACAAGGCAACCAACCAGTTGCTGCTGCAATTTGATTTGAATGAATTGGATTCAAATCAGATTATGGCGCCAATGAACCATAGTTGGCGCTAACTCTCACACCCATCCAAATACATGTCCCCACATTCCTAAAGATATGAACTCTCTAACCGCTGACATACTGTTACTAGCATTGAGCTGAACCCAGGGAGACGGTGGGTAGGTTGAGGACCCTAATCCATGCTCCCTACTGAACAAGTAATTGTGGAGTGCAAAGAAAGAAATTATAATCATCTTTTGCTTTGTCCGATGACAGTACGGTACCCCATCAAGAATCTGCCACCGTTTTTTTAAACCTCAAATGTCCGTTCTACAACATTACGTAGCATAGAATGAGTCAAGTTAAATTTCTCATGTCGAGACATAGTCTCTACAGGTACACCCCTAAAATCATCCAGATGGTACCTTATATTTCTGAAAGGACCCATGTATCCTGACTCCAGTACGTAACCAACATCCACCATATAGTAGCGCCCTACAACACATGAACCAATTGCACAATTAGGTTTTATGGACTGCACAAGCTACAGAAATAATGTAACACATGATTCATCGACAGTAGTCACTCACCGGTTGGTGGATGCGGGAAGTTTGGTTCCTCCCAACATTCTTTGAGAACCAACATGTCATGCACCGAACCCGTCATCCCCACACTGACATATGTGAAGTGTCCATCCATATCGACAATGGCATAGACATTTATAGTTACATCTCATTTTCTATTTATATGGTTAATTTTGGCCTCCTTGTTCACCCTAATTTTGACATGTGTGTCATCCAAAGCCCCGATGTATCCATCGCTTGAGTTGTCACCGGTAGCGAATTCCTCACTGTTGTCCATCTACAAAACCAAGATTAAGTCTAAAATTATCAGACAGTGAATATTAATGCAACTTCAAACTAGAATGATGTAGAACTTATCAATTATGCTAATGATTCAGAACTCATATCATACGCATGGCAAAGTTCTTCACATGTGAGAAACATATCAATCTAAAATAGCTAAAGACAGTGGTATCATCTGTTTTTTCTCCTCTACTGGCTCAGCTGACTACACAAGAAAAATGGCATAAATGACTCCATCTTTAAAAGTTAACAATAAAGCCTAGAAAAAAAAGCATGGTTTTTTGTTTCTCACTTGACCATCATATAGCAGCGAGCATGTATGTATCCACATATGGAACAGAGCAAATATCAAAGAAATAAATTATGCAGGTGGTCCAGGTGGGTTCCGGGCAAATGTCAAATTTTTATGTGGCTGGTGGCTCACAACAAATGTTGGACAGCTGATAGACTTGAAAAGAAAGCGAGGGACATATGCTGCATATGTGTAAACAAATGTATAGAATGATTCGTACCTTGCGACTTCGTGATGGCTGCAACAGCTACCTCTTTCTGAACACGAAAAACTCAAAATGTTTGTTGGACAAACCAAATAACCACACACAACATATTTATTTGGGTACTTGAAAAAAAACCAACAAACAGTGTTCAGACCACAGGCCGCATTACAACGAGGAAACTTTAACAAATGTTCTAAGCAACAAAATATAACTAAACATCAATGTAGTAGGAATAGAAACAACAGAGACTGTCGCAGTAGGAGGGTTGTTTCGGTTAACATCTACTTGAATCTGGATCTCCTATCATCCCAGCAGATCTTCAGAAATTTGAGGCGACCCTCTTTGGTTTCCATGCTGAGAAAGTTTCTACGGTCCAGTGTGTCCTTATAAATTATTAAAGCCTGAGTATAAACATCATTAGTCTCTTATACACCATCTTCTTTCATAATCTTCACCATATTGTCCATCTCCTCTTCCTACTTGTTTATACGGGCTTTCTACAGCTTATGGTCTTTAATGAGGTCAGTGATGTCCTTAAGGCACTCATCAATGGAAGCACTTTTCTTACTGCGCGGACTATTGAGAGAGTAATCCCTAGTGGTTCTCTTGGAGGACTGACCAACACTCTTGACAACGAAGGGGTTCGGTAATATCTCGTGTGGACTATCATGATTGTCATTCTTGGGTGTCGTCTCGCGATGATGGCCACCAGACGAGATCAATATACCCCTATCATGGGAGTGTGTCCCCACAGAATTATCAGTAGGTCAAGGCATTTGGACATTTTAGTCCATTCTGCATCAGACTGGCTATTTTCCTGCACGTATGCCATAGATCCAAGGGTTAGAATTAAATAGAATGGGAACATCCCTAGCAGAGGTTAGTAGAGGGAGGGGGGTTATAAAACAAATAGGTGGAAGTTAGTACCCCATTGCCACCCTCAAAGAACGAGGGGTCAACTATGACGCCGCCTGTATGTGGGTCACGACCTAGGCCAGTGTGGGATTGAAGGTTGCACCAAGCAAATATATGCCCGCTTCAGCTCGTTCAGCTTGTTCTGTAGCCGTTTCTTTTCGTACGTCAACCCTGTTGTCGTTGCGAATGCTGGATACAAATTTGCCCAGCCCAAGGTTATGAGGCCTCTTTGGTTCTAGTGCAATAGGTTTTTCTGTTCTATCACAAGTTCCAAAAAAGTCCTCACGGTGGTGTCATCCTAGTTAGCACGATCCGTGGACATCTGTTGCCATGTTTACATTGCAGGGTATGATGAACGCAGTACAGACACTAATAAACAGCAGCTCTTGTTGTCACAAACAAGAGAGTTAGGGCGAAAGAAATGCGGACGTACCTTAGCAGAACGCTTGGCGTGTTTCGATCGATGGTTGTAGTGCCTGGTTTGAGGTGAAGAACACGATGAAGTGAATGACGCTGCCAGTTTGGGCAGCGTTATGAAGCACTTGCGAGCAGTGTACTGAAAGAAACAAACACAATACCACATTATCAATGAAAATTAGTGTGCATAATGGGGAACCGTAGATACATTATCATGTGGAAGATTATATGGATGTTGCAAGTTCAACTTGCCCTAATTGATTATTCAACTTGGATTTTGATTTAATACACGTGTAGTTCCCATTTGATTTATATAGATGTTCCTTCTTACTTTCAATGTCACCAAGTTGCTATAATAAGGCATGTTGCTGCAATGTAAACCCAACAACGAAACAAAATGGTGTCCCTTGTAAACTTATATGGCTATTTAAGAGCCAACATCAATCAATGAATTAGGTGGGGGACTCTCTCCCTTTCTGTCAACTTATCAAAAAAATAAGGTAAGTTGCTGCTTGAAATAATAATATTGTATGATTTTTAGCTGCTTTGCCCGAACAAGCTTTAAGCATGACAGAACACAAAAAGGCACACCATGGATAGACTCCCAAACTGAGAAATAACCCAACAAACTTATCCCATCACCAAGATATTATCTTTAAACACAACAATCAAAAGCTACTTCGGGAAGGGGAGCGGGCCTGATGTAGCTGAGCCTAAGCCATGAAACTGATGGGAGTATTGCTAGTAATGTATTATGTTCAAAGTCAACAACGCCAGTAACCTAATCAGATACTACTAAAGAGAAAGCATTTTGTTCAATGAAAAAGGTGCTCATTGGATACTGAATAACATCACCTATAATTTTAGTTGATTAGTTCCAAGCGTCCCCGGATCCGTGGGCGACGCTCGGGAAAGACCTACAAAACGAGCATGTGGGGGTCAGAGCCGGAGGGTGGGGACAACGTCGTCCTTGGAGCCGGAGGTGGGGGAGGCAACGGAGGCGGCAGATCTGGAGGGGGAATATGGAGGCGGCAGATCCGGAGGGGGAGCGACGTCCTCGAGCCGGCCGGGGGGGCGGGGAAGATAGAGGCGACAAATCAGGAGGGGGGATGATGGCGGCGTCGGATCCGGGGTACCTTGTTGCCGATAGATGGGCGTCGACGACGGTGGGTTCTGCCAGGGTTGCGAAGCTCACTGTCGTCGTGGAGGCTGTCAACGACGAGGGGGCCCCTCA